ACAACAAATATACTTAGTGCGATTGGTTATGATCCTTGCTTGCCTTTAAAGAGACCAAGGTTCAAATCCCAGTGCATGCCTTTTTTATGAATAAATAAATAAGAAAATAAGCAATTGTGAAGACCAAAATATCCTTCCTATAATCACTCTCGTTGCAGGAAATTTGAAATGGAGCAATGAGAAAACATGAAGCCCCATTTCAAATTTCCTGCATCCAGAGTGAAAGTAGGAAGGACATTTTGGTCTTCACAATTACTTTTTTTATTCATTAAAAAGACACTTACTAGGATTCGAACCATGACCACTTTAAAGAAAAGCAAAGATCATAACAAATCACACTAAGTACATTTGTTGTTTCTTATTAAATTAAAAACATATAATTGTAGAGAGGAAAAAACCTTTCCCTCATTTCAAATTCCCTGCTCCAGGAGCGTTTGTAGGAAGGGTAGAATAGGGAGTGACAATTTTTTTCTTTTTCCTCTGTGGAACGGGCTAACTTACCGTACACATGCGGATTTAAACGGTTCCAGGAGTGTCAATTTTTTTCTTTAAGTCCTTTTATTTCTCCGTGGTGGTAAAATATATATGAAAAGGCAAAAACAATACTCCTATTTATTGCTAAAAAGAAAAAATTTAACAATAAACTAATGCATGGATTATAATGGGCTAACCGCTAATCGTAAAATAAAAGAGTTGAATGGGCCTGACCTACACGGGATTTGCCAATCAATTAAAACAAATGAACATCATGGGTTTGTCATTCTAAAACAAGCTATTTTCTCTAGCATAATATATATTATGCTATTATTTTATATCTCATTGGCTAAAATATAATGTATTTTAAAGTTATTCAATGGTTCAACCTCGACCAACCCAATTAGTCCAATTTTTATCATTTCAAATATATATTATATAATTATTTGATATCATAATGATTAAATTATAGTGTATATTATAGGGAATCGTTTGGTATTGTTAGTAAAAAACTAAACAGAAGATCTATTTGATTATTTTTAACATTAAAACGATCCTAAACATTTTCAGTTTCCTTTCGAAATTCTATAGTTTTATTCCCGAATCAGTGATGTGCAAATGGCGAATTGCAGTAATCTCTTTTCTTTCATTATTTTTTATTTTCAAATAGAAAGTTTAAAAGTAAAAAATAATTAGAGATTGGCATGGGTCGGTCAAACATGCTGAATTTCAAGTTTTGGCCCGTTTTGATCAAGTCTAATTTATAATCACATGGTTCCCCGATACCCGATAAAAATCTCATTCCAAACCAGTTTGGCAGGTGAGTCCGTGTTTACCACCATTTTCTAGGGATACAGGAACGGTGGTTCCTAACCCAAATCGTGTTGTTCATTCTTGATTTCTTTAGATTTTATCATGGCTTGGCAAAAAACCAGAAACCACAATGATGACAAGATGAAAGTTTTATAAAGCAAATTAATCGGCCAACGGACAGTGTAAAAGCTAGCAACGATTGTGAGATGCTCATTTCCCGAAAACCTGCGGGATAGACGATTTTTTATTCGATTTTTTTGAATTCGGTTTCTATAAAACTTACTCCACCTCATCATATTACCAGAAATAATATTGTTTCACAAGGTAACAGATACTTTATTTTGGTTCATAAGGCTGATTTTTGATTCGTTGCATCATTCATGTCTCTTTCCTACTAAAATTCACTATTTTTATCACATATTTGCAAAAAAAAAAAACTATACAACAATAATCTATACTCCCCATTATATTATCAAATTTCATATCTCACCTTACTCCGGCCAAATGGTCGGGGCCACGCTAGTATATATATATATATATATATATATATATAGGACTTTTGCTAGAACGTTCTTGTCTCTGGTTCTATGTATATATGTACAAGGAAGGATGATGGAGGGAGTCTAAGAGAGATGTACGTACAGATTGATGGGTTCTTTGTGAGTTTAATGAGTTAGCTTTAATAGCTACTTGATGCTTAAGAACTTGTTATTGAGGGGGGAAAAACCTATTATTGTGACCGACGATAGCACCATTGTAAAAAGAGCTTTTGTGACGGAATTAATTAAGATTTGTAACAATTTAAACTGCGACGGTGTGAAATATATTTGTTGTTGGCACAAACTCATCAATGTACATGCATGTCACAGTAGTGTCTTGTTGTCGAAATTGATTAATATACCAGTCATGTCGTAGTCAGTCTTTGTCAATTATTGAGTTCAAATTGTCAAGATTAATGCATCGACTTAGCTAAATTATTGAAAATAAAGAAAGGACGCCACATATATAAAACTTTATGCTTGATTTTAATTAGTTAAATAAACGAACTATCTTATGATGTAATTTTATCACATGCCCCTTTAATTAAGCTCATGGCAATTGGTCTACGAGTTTGAAATTTATATGATCGTATTTTTTTGTGTAAATCAATAGTTAAATATTCCAGTTACAGGCAACAATAAAAACTTGAACAAAATATGCTAAGAATATGATTGTATACCAATATATTTCTCTGTATATGGCCAATGCTACGGTACTTTTATTAAAAGTGTGAGACCGGTGATGCTATTTTTAATTGAGTCGCATAGACTGTGACGTGCCAGTACTATTTGAATTCATTAAAAGAGAAGGGTTTTGTATTTACTATTTAACCCTCTATAATATGTATTATATTTTTCAACCAACATATACATTCTATTAGTGGACCGGGTAATTTCGTGTTTCAATTATTTTCTTTTGGTTGTCTCAATATTGCTCAACTGATAATAACTACTATATCATAAGTCTCCTTTAGGCAGCTCAACAAAGTCTCCACCTCCTGTTGAGATACAATCTCAAGACAGAAGCCAGAAGGTGGTGGAGAAGAGGATTCCAAAGGAGGCGATATTGAACTTGTTTCGAGCAGCCGTGATGGCGAAACCTAAATAAGCCAATTTGAAGGAATCAAGAAAGAGGGGGAGACCAGCGGTAAATGGTTGTCCACGTGGTTGGGAAAATAGACAAGACCGTTAGAAAAATTATGATATAAATCGGATCACACAGTTTGGTCTAGACCGTAGATCGTTAAGTATGGTTTGGTCTGGTACATGGTCTGTATCATTTGATGTTTTGATCTCTTGGTCTGGTCTGATCTAGACTGTGGTTCACCGGACCAAACCGTGGACCCAACCTGACTTTACAATACGTGTTAACAGCCCATTCGGCCACTCTCCCAACTCCCACAACGACATCCAATTCTCAACCTTAATTTTGAGAATCTCGCCCCCTCCTTATTCACAACCACATTTCACTAGATAGTAAAGATAATTGTGTCTCCATGTGAAATTATGTTTATGACGTTATGGTACAAGTTGGGATGCTTTTACTTTGTATCTTTGTTATGTACTAAGATTTAATGTGTCAAAATTATTCATGCATGTTAGAATAATGTTTGAAGGCAAAAAAATAATTTTTTTCTTGTTTATTGGTTGAACTTTTTGTGCGGTTGACTAAACAAATTGTTCATTTTTCGTTGAGTGTGGTCTATCTGGACCGGATCGTATAGTATGTGGTATGTACTCTAGCCTCTCGGTCTGCACCATAGACCGTATATGTGGTTTGGTCTAGACCAAACCGCACCGTTTCCCAGCCCTAATTGTCGGAATCAGACTTGCTAGTGGTGGTTTGAGCTATGCTGGGGAAGAGCTGTGTTAATGCATAAGGATGGGGGAGTCACATGCGGGTTTTAGTAATTCTACATATATCGAGATCGATCTGTTAGTAGTTAGCACAACTCATGAGGGGACTAAACACACTAAACGCGTCAACCTGCATTTGACAACCATATTCGCTACAATATACTTACGTTATGCAAAATATATTTTTTTCGAAAATCATATATTAGAAAGTATTAATTATAATTATAATATTAATGAAAATTGCCCCAAAATAGAAGATAAAAGCCAAGGTTGGACACCACGTACCCATAGCTTACCAATATCGTTACAAAGAACCAAGTTAGTTGTTGAAGTGTCCCCCAACTTGATATATCCAATGGAACATCAATTTCTTGCATGTATCTATCAATTTAGAGCTCGTTTGGTTTTCCTTTCCTTTCTCTCTTTTTGGTTTAAACTAACCCATTTGTTCCAAGTGTCGTGCAGAAATTGTGTTGTTGATAACTCAGAGAGACTGTACGTACCACCCATAATTCCCTTTTCAAGCCGACCAAGAACAAGTCGGCAAACTACTTCATATACAGTCCAGGTCACTCTAATAGAATGACAAGTACGTACAATAATGGTCTTCGAATTCAATTCGTACTAATAGTTCAAATTGTTCGTAAACTTGTGAATTCGAAATTTTTACTCAACTATATATAATTTGAAGCTCTGTTTCCAATCAAACCAAACCACCTCAAAATAACATCAAAGAACAATGGCGACGAACAAGAACCAATCTTCATCAACAGCTAGTTCAACTCCCAAACCTCACTGCCTCGTCATACCTTACCCAACACAAGGCCACATCAATCCAATGCTCCAATTCTCCAAACGCATCATCCCACGTGGCGTCCGAGTCACCCTTGTCAACACCCGCTTCATCTCCAAAACCATCGCCAACTCCTCCTCCTCCGCCTCCGCTTGCTCCACCACCATCCACCTCGCCACCATCTCCGACGGCTTCGACGACAGCGGATTCGCCCCCGCATCCATGGACGCATATTGCTCAACCTTCCAGCGAGTCGGCTCCCGAACACTCACCCAACTCGTCGCCGACCTCCGCGAAACAGAGTACCCTGCCACCTGCATAATTTACGACCATCTCATTCCGTGGTGCCTCGACGTCGCCAAGAGTTTCGGATTGATTACGGCGGCGTTCTTCACTCAGTCGTGTGCTGTAGAAAGCATTTATTACCATGTCCGCGAGGGTTTGCTTCACCTGCCGGTTGTGGAGGCGCAAATTTCGATTCCTGGGTTGCCTCCTCTGGAGGCTCGTATCCGGCCGCTCTAGAGATGCTTTTGGGCCAATTCAAGAACGTTGATGAGGCCGATTGGGTTCTCTGCAACACTATCTATGAACTGGAGCAAGAGGTGAGATGATCACTAAAAACAGTCTTGCTTGATTTTCCTTTGCAAGTAGTTTTCAAGTGTGTGGATATTGTTTAACTGTGTGGGTATTGTCCAGATATCTCAATACACATATCCGTCTCGTACTAAATGTCCGTCAAGTTGAGTAATATATGTACGAGTATGAAGCGAAATGAGTCTACCCATTCTTATATGTTATATGAAAAAAGAACGTCCATATTTAACACTTCATAATTGGACGAGAAATATATTAGAAGGATTATTGAGTATAAATAGTTGAAAGATGAGTCTTAAAAAAAATTTGAGATGAAAATATGATTTTATAAAGGTCGAAAGATGATAAATACATATAGATATTGATGCAAATCATGATAGAACGGCCAAAAAAGGTATGAGGCAAATCGGAAGCAATATTCATGCCTCATCTTACACTACTGCGTATCGGGTAATACACGCCCCAAATAGATCGGATCGTACGAATCTGGTTAGAACACTCACCATTTCTATCAATGGCTTCTCTTACATATAGGCAGCGAATTGGCTATCTAAGCTCTGGCCCATCAAAACCGTTGGCCCAACAATCCCATCCATGTACTTGAACAAGCAATTGTCAGGCAACAAAGACTATGGGCTCAGCATCTTCAAGTCCAACTGCAAACAATGCATGGATTGGCTTGACAACAAGCGCAAGGGGTCGGTCATTTACGTCTCATTTGGTAGCATGGCAAGTCTAGGCCCCGAACAAATGGAAGAACTCTCTCATGCACTGAAAAACACCAATCGCTTCTTCTTATGGGTTGTCAGGGCCTCTGAAGAGGCTAACCTCCCTCCGAACTTTGACCCGTCCGAAAAGGGCCTAATCGTGTCTTGGTGCCCGCAGCTTGAGGTGCTGGATCACCACGCTGTGGGCTGCTTCGTGACACATTGTGGATGGAACTCGACACTGGAGGCACTGAGTTTGGGAGTGCCCATGGTGGCAATGCCTCAGTGGACGGATCAAGGAACGAATGCTAAGTACATTGAGGATGTTTGGAAGATCGGGGTGAGGGCTGAGGCGGGCGAGGATGGGATTGTGAAGAGAGGAGTAGTGGAGAAGTGTCTGAGGGAAGTGATGGAAGGGAAGAAAGGAGAAGAGATGAAGAGCAATGCAAAGAAATGGAAGAGAGTGATGGAGGAAGCTGTTAGTGAAGGTGGGAGCTCTAATAAGAACATCAATGAGTTTGTTGATTCCTTGATTCACAAGGAATTGTAAGTATCAACGAACATTGATAAGTTTGTGAAGTTTTTGTGTCGTTAGTTTGAATCACTTTGTGTATAAATAGTGACAGTTTTAATTCTTGTTTTTAATTTTCAATTGTATTCATAATGAATGGTAATGTGACGTAGTTTGGTGGTATCTGAAATATCACTAAAGTATAGTGTTTGATTGATCGAATTTATGTTTTCGTAATTTTTTAGTTCTCCCTTCGTTTTGTATGGACAATTTTCTATTTTATAATCAATACAAAGAAGTATTACACATCTGAAACATTATTAAAGTGTAACATTTTTTTTTTTTACAAAAAGCTCACTTATATTCACAAGAACACCAAGTTACATCGTTTCAAACTCCGACCAGAGCCAAGCTCTAAAATAAAAACCTGTACAGGTCGTAGGAAACAATAACAGGGCTTTTCTAGCCACCCTATGGGCTATCCTATTGTTCTGCTTACCAACAAAACAAATCCGAAAACCCGGCACAAGCATGAGCAACTGACGAATTTCCTCTAGCAAGGCTCCACCCACAGCATCGCAGACAGCACCAGCACTCACTTTATCAATAACGATCTTCGCATCCCCTTCAATCCGTACTGTAGAAAGACCCTTTTCTTGACACCACATGATTGCATCCCGCAACGCCACAACCTCAATCAGCAATGGATTCTGAAGTCCAGCATACCACCGCCCTCGAGCCTCCACCACTGAATTTGTCTTGTCCTTCAACACCAACCCCACCAACGCATGTGATCCCGAGCAAACCGCCCCATCAAAAGAGCACACCAGTTGCACGACACCCTCATCCGCTTCGACTACCCCAGCCATCTCCGTCGGCACGCCCATCTTAGGGACATCTCCCCTTCCGTCCGGTACCTGCAACCACTCATGAACCTGAAACTGAAACTAGAGTCTAAGTAAACTAGGTAAAGTTTGCTTGCCCTCAAAGGACACTTCGTTTCTAGCCTTCCAGATCCTCTATAGTAGGCAAAAAAGGCGCACTACCCTTGGTTGAGAGGAATCCCGCTCCAAAAATCGCCGAACAAAAATATTGAAACACACAGTCGGCAATGTCTGCAGCTCCATGGCCAATCCCGCCTCCTCCCACAGAGCTTTCGCCACAAAATAGTGCAAAAACAAGTATTTTGTACTCTCCTCTTCTGCCCAGCACACAGGCCATCGGAGCAAAATCGGGACCTTCTTGTCGTATAGCACCTCCATTGTCGACAAAAGTCTCTGAAACAGTTCCCAGGCAAAAAAACTTTAGCTTGGGTTGAATATGGAAATCTCGTACTTTAATCCAGAAGCTTCAATCCATGGAGCTACATTTGTGTCTCCATTTTCCCACTAATCGAAACTTTCGCTCAGCTAGCTTATACCCGGATTTGACCGTATACATCCCAGACGGTAGGGGTGGCTATACGGTCCAGTCCGGTTAAATTGGCATGATTGATCCGGTCCAGTCCGGTCTTTTCGAGAATATAAGGACGAATGATTAGATTGGATACAGTCCGGTCTTGATCCAGTCCGGTTTTGACCCGGTCCGGTCCCAATTCGGTCTTGGTTTTAGATTGAGATTGTGGAGATTTCAGTGGAGTTTTGGGTGTTGTACTCTCTTATCCGGTTTTTATCCGGTTTTGGTCCGGTCCCGAACGGTTTTTTACCTCAAATCTAAGCTCGAATATGAGATTGGATTGTTTGCTATCCGGTCCCGGTCCGAGTTATACGGTCCGGTTTCGGGTAAAACCTAAAAGCCCGGACCAAATAGTCAGCCCTACTAGACGGGTCCTCCCTCCAAACCAGCTTATCAGGGATAGCACTCCGCGACGATGAAATTTCAAGAATGGCACGCACCATCTCCGAATAGAATGTCGAATCTAAACAAACCTTGCACCATTCACCTCTATCCTGGTCAATCAACGCGGAGACCAGCCCCGATTCCGCCTAAGTAGCCTCTGGTCGCACTTTCGGACACTGAGGGTAGATAGATGGGATCCAACCTTCCTACACAATCGGTATGAATGATCTCGATCCTACCTGAGCAGCCATGCCTTGTTTAAGCAATTGACATCCATAGAGAACACCTTGATATCCCCACAAAGGCCGAGATCTGATAGTCGCCGAGAAAAGTGTAACATATTTTTCATCAATATTAAAATGTAACATTTTTATGTGGAATTCCATATTTATAACTCTAGATCAGCAACAGCCTCTCATTTAGCTGAAGTTTTTTCTTTTAAAAATACAATTTTAATTCAATGAAAAAATACATGTTTTTTGCCATTATTTTGGTATCAAAATACATCGTTGAAGTGATACTCTCGTACTTCATCTATATGTATTTTTGTTTCGATCGTGAATCGTGGCTCTCAAATTTTCCTCATCCTCCCCTTGAAATTGTAGTCTTAGTTTTTGTCCTTTCTTTATAATAAAATTAGTCTTTTTACTTTGTAAATAAGGTGCATGTAGTTATTCATGGTTTCTACTTTCTAGCATATCTAGACACTTCCAAATGATAATTATTTAGGTCTTGCTAATTAAAATTATCCAAATCTAAGTCACTAGAGGGCTTTTTTTGTTTGGGTTTTACATTAAACGTATGCAAAAACAAGTATGTTGATGATGATCAAAGAGAACCTTATACCTATTGTTTAGACTTAAACTCAAATGTTCTAAGTGAGAATCAAGTATCCTTGTTCCTAACAAACTATATTGATTCTCTAGGTTCTCACTAACAAAAATTACTCAGATCTCAGTGTATTTTGTTGCTAATATTTTATATTGTGCGAATGTAAAAACAAATACTTTCGATAATCAAGATAAAATTTAAGATCATTGTCCAAAGTTGAACCCGAGTCTTCCAAGCAAGAATCAAGTATTCTAGTTTTTAACCAACTATATTACAAACAGATGATACTTTTCTTTCTACTTGCTCCAAAAAAATTCTATGGCATTTTAATATTAGAAAGAGCTTTTCACACCTCAAGCATTAATGGAGAATTAACACGAACTACCACCAACCAGTCTCGATTCTTCCAAGAAAAATGACAATATCACGCATCTACTCCTACATCTCCATTTCGTCGGTTGCCGCCGCTTTTTCAAGAACCCCAAAGCTCTTCCACCTCACGACCCCAAATCGCCCGCCAATTCCCCGAACTCCCAATTTCTGCACATAACCTCCGATCGTCATCATCTTGCCTCCAAATTCCATGGATGCCAATTCCCCACCTCAAACCATCCCAGTGGTCTCCACTTTCGCCAATCCCTTCGACAGCCAGAACCCTCCTCTACCCCCCGCCGCGACCTCCAACGGCGCCGGCGACGACACCGCCGCACGCAAGCCCATCGCGCTGTGGCCTGGAATGTACCATTCCCCTGTCACCAATGCTCTGTGGGAGGCCAGGTCCAAGATCTTCGAGAGAATGATCGACCCGCCCAAGGACGCGCCTCCGCAGAGCGAGCTGCTCTCCAAGACGCCTCACCAGAGCCGTACCAGCATCTTGTACAATTTCTCTAGTGATTACATACTCAGGGAACAGTATAGGGATCCTTGGAATGAGGTCCGAATTGGGAAGTTGCTCGAGGATCTTGATGCTTTGGCTGGCACCATCTCGGTCAAGGTATCCTCATCTGTACCCTTTTTGCTATGTCATCTTAACAATCATTTCGTTTCAATGACTTGAGTTCGTTTTTGGAGAGATTTTCAATTTTAGAAGCTCCGATGTCATTTCAATAACTATAGTGTCATGGCATGGTTACTTGGGTGGTTGCTTTTGAAATGTGATGTACTGATGTTGGATGGTTGAATTGAATCAAGTAATCAGAAATCACAGTTTTGAAGCCTTTCTGGTGTTGATCAGCGACAAAGGAAGCTTTTGTTTTGATGTTATGCAATTGCGGGTTAAATGCTGCCTAAAGGGTCACTAAACTATGGGGTTTGACATTTACAAGCAATCAAAGTTTAGGCCTTCATTTTGACTTTGTATGAGTTAGTGTGGATACTTCGAAACATGTTATGGGAGTCTCCAGTTGAAGCCTCGTGATGTTGATCGGCTGGAAAGCCGGATCTTGTTTATGAATGTTATGGCCTATGGGTGGAGTTTATGCAATGGATTAATGCTGTGCAAATGAAGAGTTTCTTCCCCTTTTTTATTCAGTTTGTTTTGTTGCTTATTTGTTGTTATTAGCACTGTTCCGATGAAGATAGCACAACAAGGCCGCTTCTGCTAGTGACAGCTTCTGTTGATAGGATCGTTCTGAAGAAGCCAATTAGTGTCGATGTTGATCTCAAGATAGTTGGTTCTGCTATATGGGTTGGGCGTTCTTCGATTGAGATTCAACTGGATGTTATTCAGCCTGCTAAAGGTACGCTTGAATACAAACGTTGGTATGTGATGAAATTTCACAGTTCCATGATGCTAAGATAGGTTAAATGGTCAGTAAGCAAGATGTCTTAACAATAACTAAGCTAAGTGGTTTGCAAGAAATACCATCACTTCACCTGATTCTGCCTAGTCTATTGTTGGTTCTGTTGAGTCAGCATGGCCAAATAGCTTCGCCATTTCTTGATAATCGGCATATCAGGACCTCAATCACCTACTCCAGTTAAACCTTTTCAATTCAACACAAACTACACTCTCAATTCTTTAGCTACCCCGCGAACCTCACCCATCCTTGAATTGGGAAAGGTTGGGTCAAGTGGGTGCATGCGCTTCTGAGGGCGAGATTTTCTCAGGGACGGGTTGAGGCTATATGTCATGCTAACAGCAGACTAGTCATCATCAAAGTGATTGAGTGATTCTATCCTTACAGGTCACCTAAGTTAGTTTTTGTGACGGACTTTTATTGTACAATGACCATTTTGTTACAATCCCTTACAGTTTTCTGGCTACAATTTAGGTACTTAAACCATGTTAAAAGGTTTGAGTCTCGGTGTTTTGACAAAGCATCTGCAATTCTGGAAGATTTACACACTAGTTTTCATCCTGCATTGTTTCCCGCCTTTGTAATCAACTTCCGTAACATTGTTCGGTAACTAATCAGCTACAAACCGCAGAGGACTCTGATTCTTCAGACGCGGCGGCACTAACAGCCAACTTCATATTTGTGGCTCGAGACTCCATGACCGGGAAAGCTGCACCAGTGAACCGACTAGTCCCAGAGACCAAACAAGAGAAGTCGCTCTTTGAAGAAGCCGAAGCGAGGAGCAAGCTGAGGAAGAGAAAGAGAGTGGACGATGATGGTAAAAAGGAAGTTGAAAGTGGAGAAATGAATAGACTCAAAGCATTGCTGGCAGAGGGGAGAATCTTCTGCGACATGCCAGCATTAGCAAACAGAGACAGCATTCTCTTAAGAGATACCTGTCTTCAGAATTCACTCATCTGCCAACCCCAGCAGAGGAACATCCATGGCCGTATTTTCGGAGGCTTCCTCATGCACCGGGCATTCGAGCTGGCTTTCTCCACTGCTTATGCATTCGCAGGGTTGGTCCCTTACTTTCTTGAAGTCGATCACGTGGATTTCCTAAGACCTGTGAGTATTTATTCGAAGTTCTCTTCTTGCAATTGATTGAACTTCTGTTTTGTCTGCGTTAGCTCACCATTGCCTAAAATCGCGATCTTACGCATAATATCTCTAGAGATTCACTATTGAGTTTGGTTGTTTTGCAACAGGTGGATGTTGGGGATTTCCTGCGCCTCAAGTCCTGTGTCTTGTACACAGAACTCGAAAACCCAGATGAGCCTCTGATCAACGTCGAAGTTGTGGCTCATGTCACCAAACCGGAGCTGAGAACCAGTGAGGTAGACCAAGTAGAATTGCCAATTGATACTCTTGCACCGAACACCGAGTTCTCAAATGGGGGATTTTGGCATTTGCTAATTGTGTGTGGGTTTTGGAACAGGTGACAAATACGTTCTACTTCACCTTCACGGTAAGGTCAGAGGCGAAAGCTGCAAAGAATGGGTACAGGATTCGGACTGTGGTTCCTGCTACGGAGGAAGAAGCAAGGCTCATTCTGGAGAGGAAAGACGCAGAGACCTTGCGTTTAGCCTCGGCGTAACTACGACAGTTGTGCAGCACTAAGTTTTAACACCACAAGTAGTATAGTTCTTCAGTGTTAAGCAACCAGTCAACAAGGTAGGATCTGTAAATAAGAGAACGGATTTATGTAAGCAATGCTTGATTACTACCCTCGTTATAGTTTCGAACAAAGGAATTTGAGAGTGGAAAGGGGTTGTAGGTATTCATATTCTACATTAGTAGTATTAAAGTCGGATTGCCTCTTAACTTGCATTTTCTACATCTGAAAAGAATAGTTTGGACAGGGGATCATACATTATCCATTATGATGCGACCATCTTCCGCAAAAAGAAACCGTCTTTCTATATATACTAGAAAAAATGCCCGCTGCTACGCCGCGGGGACTTAAATTGCACCGTCGTACTGAATGGATGGACAGTTTTGTTTATTGTCAGATCAGGTTGTTGTAGTTTTTTCCTGTCCTATGTAAGGAGGCGGAGAGTTATGTTTGTGGGCATTCCATCTACTAATCAATACCCACGACGTACGTTCCATCTACAAACCAATACCTGTGACTACGTAGCAGGACTTGATCGTCTTGCTAATGGAAAAAAAGTCAAAAAAGTGTAAGAGCATTTTGATTGAAGAAAACAAAGAAAGTACAGTCTGGTGTAATTCAAACAAAAAGAAACGACAATGATTGAAGAAAGCTAGCAGCATTAATGATGAACTTAAGCAACCATTTTGATTTTATTAGTGATAAGGATTGAGCAATCAAGAATCACATTCAACCAGGGGTACAACGTTCTATCATCTATGATCAAGATACATGAATAGTTTGCCTTCATTGCTGATACAGAGGATAAAGTGGGAGAGAAACACTTAGGTTGCGTGTACAATTACAGGGATGTGGATTGATTGGGTGCAGTTCTTATCAAAGCTCGACGACAACCACAGCGGAATTAGCAAGCCACCGTGTCACCTTGCAACTCCGGTATACCTTGTGCAGCTTCACCGCCCTTGTAAACTCCTTTGCATCTCGGAAACGTCAAACCCGTAGAGATGGCAGGAGAAGGGGTCTCCCTTCACCAACTCCTTAACCACGTACCTCCCCATCCAGCATCATATAGTGGCACTGGTAAAGCTTTTGCACAAAGAGCAAAAGTAACATAAGATATTAATCTATTTCATAAAATGGGACGGGAAGTTAATTGTTAACCTCAACAACCAGTGCAAATATCAAATATGTATTAGTCTATTCTAGATTAACCTCTCTTTAGACCGATGTATTTATATCTCTAAGCATGACCAAATAGACACATCGCAAAATATTCTAGACAAAAGAAAGGCTGCAAGTTCATCTAACTACTCAATCAATACAGGTCACTCCCATGATTTGAAACCCATTATAGCCATGATGAACTTGCAGCCAATAATTAGGCATCATGAACACAACACAACACAACATTTTCTTTCGAAATTTAGGAAAACCCATAGAATGTTAAGATGACACTGAAGAGAAAAGGGCGAAGGTCGCATTCTTCCACTGCTATAATATTCAGTCACCAAATTTTAAGTAGGCGGGAACTTACTTCGTAGTCAGCACCTAATAGTGACCTGCTCATTACTGGAAGTACTTGGTTTAGCATAGCCTATTTTTTGCAACCATCCTTGATCATACATGCATGACAGGAGAAACGCTCCAAGTAATACAACTAAGAGTCTCCAAATAATTGGAAATGAAGAAAGAAGATAATGATGAATAAGATAGCAAGCCCTAAGTGGGCACCCTAGGCATACTACTGCTGAAGCTGCAACGTCCACCTCACCATGGCATCCACCATGCAGCTCATTCTTGAACAGAACAAAGGAAAATAGTTTATAAGGAAAGAAACTTGTTGGAGTGGTAATCATAATGACATGTTACCTGTTATTGGTGTTTCAGCCGTTCGATTAGAATATGTAATGAATGGTAGAATATTTATCAACCTTCCCCATGGCTTTCCCAGCAAAGATTAGAGGATGTCCCAGGGAACTTCTTTGTGGCCTGTTTCACACTTCTTTGTGAAATCGGACCAGTCTTTCATCTTTAGGGGGATCCCTCTCTTTTCCCAAACACATTCTTCCAAACACATCTTCCAAACACAAAGTTAAGACTCAAATCAATATCTGAAGTGACCGAGTTCATTTAACTCACTGCTAACCTTAAATTAGTAGAAGAAATTGAAAAAGAAGAATCAACTCACAATGATAGTCAAGGGTGACGACGTTAAGAGCATCCAGAACATTCTTGAGCATCTCCTTCCACTTTCATAGGCTTGTACACCTTAACACTTTCTTTTTCTTGTCCTGGGTCCCTCCACAATGGTTGCCGAAACTTGTTCCTTTGCAAGACAGTATCTAGCAGCAAACATACATTCATGAGAAGAACAATAAAACTAATTTTTCTTGTCCTGGGTCCCTCCACAATTGACCTCCAACAGCAGAGACTCGAAGCTCTAGTTGGGCTCAGGTTCAACAAAACCTGTGAACTCTTTGCCGACAATGATGCTCTAACTCCATAGGTCCCCTGAGCAGAACGTTGAAGTCAAAAATCGTACCCCTTCCAACTTTGCAGTGAAACTGAAACTGCCTACCTCTCGGTGGATTTTCTTTTGCTTTCTGGTCTTTCGCCCCTCCTTGGTCGCCGCCGAGCTTTTTCCCTCTTCCAATCTGAACATCGGCGCTTGCCTTCATCAGCGCACCCTAAGAAACAACGGGGAAAGTTCTGAACCAGAAAGGCGAGCCAATTTTTGTGGGTGAGAGGGAGAAACAGCAGAGGGAACTCACCAGTTCATCTATCCAAAGTGTTGAGAACTCGGTGAAAGAGGAAAGTGAGGGGAGATAGAGAGGAATCGGAGGGGAGTAAACCTTAGGTCGCCCGACCAACCATAGAGAGGGGCAAAGATACAGACCTACAATTGGTAGGGGTAGCGTGTGGAGTAAAATCGGGTTGGCGTGCTGACCACAAAAGCATGGTCCTCCATGGAAGAATTGAGGTGAGTTTGGCGCTGAAGAAAGAGAGGACAGCAGGGCAACCCGCAATCACGGACTTTGCGGCAAGGCGGCATGGGTTTCGCGTAAGGTATACGGAGGTGGCGGAGACCGAACTCTGGAGGCGAGACGGCCGCGGAGGCAGGCCATAGTGGTAGATGGAAGAGAGACCCAAAGACCGTTTTCAGTAGGCGACAAAGAATGAAACAGTAGTCACAAGTTTGGGCCAATAAAGTGTAGTCCGCTATTATATATAAGATAACTAATCTACACAGATCATATAAACCAGCAAATTACAAAAATCTCTCTTCGCGGATTTGTACAGAAACTGGGGGCAGATGAGTTGCAGAAAACCCAGCAGATCATCTTTCTTTTCTCATGGCAGTTCACCTTCATCCTCGGAAAATGAACTGCATTGCACCTGAGCCAGCATCGGATTCACCGGAACAGGGAACTTATACACCGATGAGCTAACAATCGTTCGTTCGTTTATCATTCCAACTTCTTTGCAAACCCTATCGAGAACCGAAAGGAAGTCCCTCACAACCATGAAGATCCTAAAAGGGTGAGCTTCTTCTTTCGCCGAGTTCCCATGGAAGTATTCTGTAATCTCCTTCACCAATGACAATGCAACGCTCTCTTGCGCCTGAATCCTTATGATCTCCCCCTCGGACATTTCTAAGAACTTGTTCATCGACTCTGAGAACTTCCCACTTCCACTCAACCCTAATGTCTCGTTCAACTGCACTACCTCGATTATCTTCTCGATGCCGACAGAAAGCTTGGCGACCTCACTGCTGAGCACATCGGAGTCCATAGCAGCGGATTTTCTCACATTGCTCAACTCCGAGCTTAAACTTGACACGACTTCCAACCCAAGTTTCCTGCACTTGACCTCATCACATGATGAGGGGGCGCCATTCATGTGTCCCTCCAAGGAGGGACGAGCTCCCTCAGTTCTTATAATCTCCTGTACCACGAAATGGAGCAAAGTCGTCTTGCCATCTGTGCCCTTAACATCGGCCAGCTTAAGGAGCGTGTCAAGCTTGAAAGCACGAGCATCACCACGGTTTGTCCCAACATTCATACGGTTTCCTGTCTTGAGCACGGCTTCCAGAAGCTTCAGGAACATCCTGCTGCTCCTCAGCTCTTCACATGCTGCCTGTTTTTGAAAACAAATAAAGACTCAAGTCAATTACAACTTCCATGAGCCATCCATCAATGGTTTTATGATCAAAGCTTTGAGCGTTTCGTTATTTTACCTCGAGGGTTTCAAAGGACTTCCTGAGATACTCAGTCTCGGAATCAAAGTTGGCCATGTACATCATTGCATCGACTCTTTTAAAGGCGAACGGGACATCGAGGACTGCCTTGAGGAACTTCTCTGCATGACCGAGCTTCACTGGTGAATCGTCATTATACTCCTTCAGCTTTCGCTCCTCTTCCTTACTAGGTGCCATCTTCATTAAGCTCTCCAGCAGCTCAGTTCCAAGAGTATCAGTATTACCTGCAATCGCCAAATTGCCAGATTTAGCAGCTGGAACCTCAATAGCCAGAGAACAGTTCAGCTAAAAAGAAGTTAAGAGGCAATCATCCCGATGATCCTAATGATTCATTAAATTTGAACCCTCAACAAGTCTAATGAACAATCAAGCTCATATTGCTGAATGTTAATACAAAATGGTGAAGTATTTACCCTCTAAGAGAGCTTCACAGACTTCCTCTATGGTGACATTCAAAGCTCTCAGCAAGATTGCAATGTTCTGTGCTCTTTTCGGATCAAGAACCCTATTTTCCTGATTTCCAAATAGATTGAATGGAGTTGGAGTTCCTGGTGATGGCTTTGGTTTCGGGGCATTTGCCACAAACAATTCCTCGATCTTCTCCTCATTCAATCTGCAACAAGAAACAGATTAGAATGGAAATTTCAGATTTGAAATCCAAATGGGGAATGGATTCATTATTCATTTGTCATTTCAGCTACGATTCTTACTTGAACGAGCTCGACCCAATTTGGTCCCAAACCATTTCTCGATCGGAGCTAGCTCGAACTTTGTCCCAATGTAAAGGCTTCAACTTTGGTTTGGGAGTCTCTTGGAAGTGATCCTCTGCTTCAGCATTCGGAGGCAGTTGAATAGGAGATACTTTCGTCGGCGGCGTTTGCAGCACAAACGGCCTGAACGGGGGTATAAGCAACGGCGGGGCAGCTGCCGAAGTCGAAATTAACTTGCCTTCTGGTGTCGATGCCACCGGAGAAAATTCCATCTGTCTCAGCGGTAGTGGGGGCGGAGGAGGAGGAGGGGGCGGCAGCGGAGCTGAAATAGGCTGACCAAGAACAGAGCTCATCTTAACATTCAGCCCGGAGACGTTCAATACGTCAGCCGAAGACCGATCAGGGCTCTTCTCGAAACCCGGCGATGAAGAAGCTAATGAGAATGACGACGACATTTTAACGGCCATGGCGGACGGAGAGGAAAGTGGATGTCTTTCAGGAGAAGTCCAAGCGGAGGAAAGCAACGATGACGGCTGGGCATTGTTAGGCTCCATATCATTGGACATTCGGGGGGATTGAGATTTCTCCGACGAAGATGAAACTCTGTCCGATGACGCAGCGGAAGAAGAACAAACCGACAGTGACCGCACATTTTGATTCAGAGCGTTCCATAGCTTGGGCGAAGAAGCAGCCGATGCAGTAGAAACAGGGGAACCTAAAGAAGAAAGCTTCCCCATCTGTTGCTGATTCTGATTGAGAATCCTCGCCGGAGACAGCGACGGCGACCTCACATTCCGATCCGGCGAGATTCGCTTCATTTGCTCGATATCGAAAGAAATCCTCGGGGAAGACGAAGCAGACAACGACGGCGAAGCAGACGACAACAACTCATTCTCATTCCGCCGCGGCGGCATCGGCGGGCAAGGCGGAGCAGGCGCAGGACCCGGACCCGGATAAACGACCCGAGCAGATTCAGGAGACGACTTGCTATTCTTCCGCGGGGACAAACTCACGGGGGGAGAAATGCTAACCGACTGAGACCTCGCCGGAGATCCAGACGACGAATCGGAAGAGCAAGAAGTCGAATCAGTAGTCCCTCCTTCTCCAAAATCCGGACCCGGTCCACCCACAGCCCGAAACATCCTCCTCGACCCGGATCTCGCCCCGACCGAACCATCCCTCCCTCCGCCGCCCAACGACCCCCTCGGCGAATAAAACTCCTCTTCCTCGCCATCCTCAGGGGACCCAAAACCATCCGGATTCCGGCCATGATGATTCAGCGGCGGGAGCGGCCGGAGCTCCGGCGAATCCATCTTCCCCACAACCGGAGACTCAATCGCAGCAGGATTCGACCCGCCACCATCCCCAATCCCATGGGAGTTAACAAGCGTCCCAAGATACAAAAACTCTGAACTGGTATTCGTCGGGCGGAATTTATGCCTGGATCCGGATCCCCGATCCGGATTCACAGCGTAGAATCTGGTACTGCTCTGGCGGTCGGACGAGGCGTGGGTTTTGGCATCGTGACTGGGAGGAGGGCTGTTGGCGGTCCGGCGTCGGCGGCAGAAGCAGAATGCGAGGACCGCGGAGACGACGACGGCGGCGGCGAGGAAGGAGAGAGAAAGGGCGAGGAGCTTGTGGGAGGAGGAAGGAGAGGGCTTTGAGGAAGGGGATTGCGGGAGGATCAATGAGGAGATGTTGGCGGGGAAGGAAGCGAATGTGGAGGGAGACGGCGGTGGAGGCGGGGAAGGGTAGGTTGGGAAGAATGGGGAATTTGGATTGGTGGTGGTTGGGGTGCCGGGGGAGGAGGAGAAAGGGAGCTTGGCCGGCGGGGAAGGGGGAGGGAGGGAGGAAGGGGAAGGTGCGGGAGGGAGGGTGTCGACGGGGAAGAAAGGCTGGTGGAGAATGCGGCGGACGGGGAAGGCGACGGAGCGGCGGTGGAGGAGGAAGAAGAAGATGAAGTAGGAAGGAAAGGGCATTGTGTGGAAATGTGAAAAATACTCTGTTACGTTTCTCTCTCAAAGCTCAGATGAGAGCTGAGTGAAAGAGAAAGGGAAAAGGGAGGATTGGGGGTTTTTGAGGGAGAGAGACAGAGAGAGGAGGCATCCAGCTAAGATACTGCTCTCTTCTGCTACTCACTAGCTACTGCGCTACTCGAGGCGAGGGAGTGAGAGAGGAGGAAAAACAGGGGAAGGTAGATACGCTAACGTTACGCGGTCAAATATTAGAACAACATCATTATGTTTTCTATTTTATGCAGCTGCTGCTATTTCATTTTGGCTAATTTTTCTGTATAATCCACACAATACCCAAATACCCTATGTTTGGCAACTAGCAAATTTTGAGAGGTAAGTAATTAGTATAAACTGTCACAAATTTTTTACTTTTTTACTTAGTACAAAATGGTTAGAAATTTTTAATTTATAATGATATGATAATAAAAGTTTAAAATAGTCACTTTTGTTTAATTTGTGACCGTTTTGTATTTATTGCAAAGGTTTGTTACCAAGTCGTTACACATTATAAGTTTCGTGACTGTTTTGAGGTCAGATCGTGTGTTCGTCAAGTATATGACACTAATCACTTAAACAACATATGAGATCTCGGGTCGTGTGTTCATCGATATACTTGCTTTGTCGAATAAGAATGTCTTTTATTTACCTTCCAATTTCAAAATCGAGAAAGTAAGAAAGTAGGCCGATTTTTTTCAACTAAAAAATAGCTTTTAACACGTTTGTGAAGCGTTGAATTCCTCACTGTCATTCTTTGTGTTTTTACGAGAACTGTCATCTTTTGTTACGATCATATCATTCACATAAATTAACAAAACCATCATACCTCGATGGGAGCGAATTGCAACAGTTATTGATCATCCAAACCTTTGAACGTTGTACAAAACGGTCACCAAAAGTTTAATTTGTAATCACACGATAACAAAAGTTTGAACTTCTATGAAATAGTCACACGGTTTAATTTTTTGTGACTTTTTTTTCTTTAGAATGAAAAAATAGGAATGCAAATAGAGTGTGGTAAATAAATTATATTATTATAAAATAAATTCATTAAACTTATAAAATATTATCACCAAATAAAAAAAAATATTACATTATAATCATAAATATTAGTAAATATACTTCAATTAAAGTAATTATTATAATAATTATTGGTCAAGCAACCTTGAAGCATGAAGTCAAACTCGTAACTAGTCATCCTACAAGTTTTCTTGCCTAGTTTAATTTTAAATTGGATATGGTCAAACTTAGTGAAATACGTTCGAATCTTCAAGTTTTTAACTAAATAGTCAAGTAAATTGAGTCAATCAAACCATTCATCTTTCTACCTTTTCCACAAACATTTATTATCTCTAATTTTCAATTCAAATTCGAGTTTGTCAATAACCAGTTGATCTCAATAACTCGAGTTTTTAGGAGAAGCTTCTGCTGGATCTATACAACTCTCTAACATGCCCCCTCAAACGAAAGCCAACTAATGGGCTTGAAGTTTGCACAGGCTCACCATACCTTGTGCTTTAATCAACTGTTAATATTAGGGGTCGTGGAGATTCGAACACACGACCACTTGGCCAAACCAGCTCTGATACCATGTCAAAACCAGTTGGTCCCAATAACTCGAGTTGTTGGGAGAGGTTCAATCGTGAATCATATACCACACACTAACCGCCCCCTCAAACGAAAGCCACTCACAAGGCTCACAAGGGCTTGAAGTTTGCACAGGTCCAAATACCACGTTCTTAACAAATGGGGGTTACCAGGATTCGAACACAAGACCTCTCGGTCACAAAAAGCTCTGATACCACTCTCTAATAGAGTTAACCAAGTGATTTTGATTTGACTAGATGAACATTGACAAACTTGTTCCTCGAGTCAAATGGTCAACTTCGAACAATGTCTATATTAATGATAACTATAAAAAAAATTGATAATATTAATTATTATATAATTATAAAAAAATGAAAAATAAAAATTCATCACTTCTCTCATCCCTCCCCCTCCTTCTTCCCAAATTTGGAGGGTAAGCCGGAATAGTAATTTGGCACCCCATTTTGCACTTCATACTATTACAAATTAACCAAATAGAGTGATAGAGAAGCTTTTCGCAGGCTTTGAAGTTTGGTTAGTATTATTTAAGTATTATTAGGGAATAGTTATGATTAGTGATGGCAAGTGAGCGAGTATCTTCATATCCATATTCGTCTTTCATTAATTGTGAGATAAAGTAGGTAATGTCCGTGCGGGTATGGGAAGAGGCGAGCCGACCTATTCTTATATGTTCTTTGCAAAAAGAAAACCCCATTGGTATTTAACTTTTCTACAAGAAGATTAAAAAAAACTTCATATAATAGAAGGAATAATTGAGTCTAAATAGTTGAAACTTGAAAGATATGGTCTTAAAATTTCTTTATGATGGAAATATGATTTTAGAAAGGTTAAAAAAAGATAAATATAGATAGATATTGATACAATTTGTATATAGTTTATGGCGCGTAAAGCATTTTCTATTGTCACTCCTAGAGTTAGAGTCTTTCAACTTTATTGAGTGTCTTCACTAGGGTGTCGCTTGTAGGGGGTCCTGTGTAGTTTTGTCTGTATTCTCTTGTCTTCTCTTGATATCACTCGAAAATAAATGATTAAAAAATATAGAAACTAATACATATCAACGATACAACAGACCGAGAACGGGGTGGAGCAGGTCAGAAGCAACACACATGTCAAGCTCAATACTACTGTGGATTGTGTATTACCCGCCCCAAATAGATCGGGACAGATCAGTTGTGCAGTGAGATGTGAATTTGTCATCACTAGTTATGACGGTTCATAAACTTTCACTAATTAATAATTCTATTAAGCCTTCTCTTTGCTAAATCAACATGAGTCGAGAAAACACCAAGAAAAATACAGCCAGAAGACTAAACCCCAATATTAAGGAGTTGTTGGTGATGTATTTGATGATAAAGTTGGATATTATGAATTTTTTTCAAATTCCATTGTTTTTTTCCATGTATTTAGGAGCAACAAATTTGTGGGCTTCACGGACTTGAAAATTCTATCTCTTTAAAACTAGGAGCAACATATATATAATTAGGGGTATACTTGGAACAAAAAAGGAACCCAACAATCTCCTCAAAACTATCTTAACAATTTCAAGTCATCACATCAACAAAACAATGGGTTTATTGTTTAAGTAAATAAACAAAAAAAAAATAATGTGTTTTTAACAATGCACACATTGTAACAATCTCATTTAAATTATCACCAAAACCAAACGACCCCTTAGTGAGATTGTTGAGTCTTTTTTCTTCTAACTGTGTTTTTACCTTTTTTATGTGTGTTGTTTTCTTGTATAAAAACAAAGAATAAAAAGAGACATTTTACCGAAAAAATAATATAACTTATTTAAATAGTACATTAACTATCACTTAAATCAAACAATATAAATTATAATACATCATCTTTTCTAGAATACATGTATTGTTAATAATATATCAATTTAACTATTATCAAAATCAAGCCATCCCTTGGTTGAGCGCAACTTGTCAATGCAAATATGCAATGCAAAAAATAAACAACAATGAGTGCAGCAAAGAAAACAAATAATAAACGGCTGATGATGAAATGATTGATGGTGATGATGGTGAACAGATGGCAGATTGGCAGCTCAGTCCAGTGGGAAGATTGATCTACTTGTCATGCTTACTAGTAGTAGAGGAGACATGTGACTCTGTGGATCCCGCATGTTCGGCCCAGTAATGGACGGCCCAGATGTCGTCGAGCGCAATTTGGGCACCGCCCATGTCATTTCGCTCGCTTCCTTTCTTCTTCTTTTTTTGTCATTTCTGCGTCACCTCCACTAATTTGTTCCCTGAATTTCGCGCTCTCTCTCCCTTCCAAGTTCCAATCCACCAAAACGACGACACAGAGATGTGTATAGCATAGTCCTTTTCATTGAATGAAACTATACAGTCGAATTCTGCATGGATGCTCCGACTCGCAAACAGTAGAGTTTAGATGAAGATAAGAATCGCAACGGGGTGCTGCGAATGAGGTTGGGACGGGTCGGATATTACTTATGTGGATATGATCAGTTTGGACCAGCTTATCTAATTTTCATCTGTGAGAAATTATGATTACTAGATTTTGTATGTAGAATCTCAATTTTTACATGAAAAAAATAAAGAGAGATAAATTTAAAATCAATTAAAAGTCATTTATATGAGAGATGAAGGCTCGCATTGTGACATCATTAACTTATGAAATAATTACATAATATCAACATGTCTAAATATTAGAAAAAATTGAGATAGAACAAGTTAAAGAACAAAACGAATGTAAAACCCGTTTACAGCCTCGTGCTAACACACCGTGTCAATCTCATCTCATTTCAGAGTTGGTGTAATTTGAAAAGAAGAGCATTGGAGGTTGGGAGAAACTAAATGGGGTGATTAAATCAATAAAAATGAGTTGAATCGATTCAAACAACAAGTTGCTGCTAACATTCAAACTAACATAATGATTATGAGAGATGATTATGTAAAATATTGAAATCTTTGTAGGCTTAAGGTGCTTCAAATTTCACAACACCATAATACTAGGGGTCGTTTGGATGGATCAATCTAGAAATGAGTCAATTTGATCAATTGTCTCGTTTTATAAACGAGGCAATTAAAATGAGTCAATTTGAATTACCTGCCCCCACCCCAGGTAATTGAAATTGACTCAAAACGGATAAATTCAAAATACCTCAGACAGATTGATCCATCCAAAATTTTTGCTGGCAAATGAGGCAATTTGGTACAATTGTCTCAAAATGAGACAGTTGTGTCAAATTGATCCGTTACAATTCCTCATCCAAACGACGAGGTCATTGAGGTTTGTAATTATAAGATAATGATCATTACATCCAGATAATATATCACATGCATGCAATAACTACATTAATCTTTGAAATTATAATGTGGTTGATGAATATGCTTTCTAATAGTTATGCAATATCATTGGTTGGTTTGAATGTGAATGAAATAACGAGCTACTTTGCCCATAATCGCAAATGTCAAAAAGCAGAAAAGCCAAACATTATTATTGCTGCTGGTTGTGTTAAGGATTTGCAGTAATTAATGCACAGACGACTATAACAACGAGATGGAGATGAGATGA